TGTTTTCTGCACTAATATCGTATTTGCCGGCGTATAAGACGGTTTTGAGACCTTAAAACGTCCCCCGAAAATCGGGGGTCGTCTTATACGCCGGGTACATACAGAAGGATACGGTATACTGTATGTAGCTTTGGCTACATACAGTATGCCGCGCTGAACCTATCACGGCAGGCTTTGTATTAGTGAATACAAAGCCTGTATTGGTTAATACAAAGCCTGCCGTGATTGACTCAGTGGAAGACGAAGGACACAGCGGGGATCGTGGACAAGGTAAGAGACTGTAATCCTTAGTGTGGCTCGGGGGTACCCCTTATGGGACTGAAAATTAAACCCCAGCCACAACCGGGGATACAGCAATGTATGTTAGTGGGTGCATTTAAACATTATTTTGGGCTATACTCGTCTTATACGACGAGTACAGCCCAAAACCTATATTTTAACACAAAAAGTAGGGGGTCGTCTTATACGCCGAGTCGTCTTATACGCCGGCAAATACGGTACTCTTACAGTATGTTACTTGACCTTAAAGTAAACCTGTCGCAAAGATTGCCAGTTCAAACTGGGCACAAGCAGAGGTTACCTCTAGTGAAGACAAGATATCATAAACATCAATGAATACAGATATACAAGCAGCTGAAACGATGTGTAAATGTAAAATTCAAACTGTGCCCTACATCCCATGTATCCATAATTGTGATTGAGGTCGCCTTTCATATGGGAAAATTAAGAGGGATACTCTTGAGGGGGGCGGGGCCAGACAAAACTTCTGCATGAAAAGTCACAATTCATATTTATCTCTAGACCGCTTTAAAACTGGCTGAGTTTAAATGTCAGTCATGTTAACACTATACACTCTGTATGCAAGATATGTTCTATATACCGTGTTTCCCCGAAAATAAGACACTGTCTTATATTTTTTGGGGCTCAAAAAAACACACTAGGTCTTATTTTCAGGGTAGGTCTTATTTTTTTTTTTAACATTTCTGAGATTTGTAGGTTTTGGAAACGTCTACCTGCCAATTTATTATTTTTTTTTTCCTCTAGCTCTTATGGCTACTATAGAGCCTGATATCATAAAAATGTTTGGAAAACTATTGATCTCACAAAATATATAACCTTCACTCTGCTTGTAAATGGGTAATGTGTAGTTCTTGAGCTTTTCTCATCTTTCTCGTTCTCATGGAAAATTGATTTTCCAGAATATAGTTGTTGTTTTTTTTATTCATTTAATCTAGAAGAAAAATAGATATGGGATGCTTGAAATTTTTTTTTATAGTCCAGCAATTTGTTGCTTAATGCATATTGTCAGCTTATAAGCCCTCTAGAACCTGAATAGTCCATTCTAAAGAGCTTCCAGTGCTCAATGTTTCATTGGTTTGTGCTCTGATGACTCCTGCAGGTGGAGGAGGCGGTTGATGATGTAATACATCAATTCTCTGACTGCTTGCACAAAATTACATTTTGGTGAACCTATGATGAATGGCATTAGAGTTGTGTGCAGGTCATGCAGGAATGCATCTTGATATAAAGCACTGTCTTTTAGATAACAGCAAAACTTATTTTTGACGACTGTATGTAGTAATAGTTATTTGAAACTGAACATAAGTCGTGTTTTCTGCACTAATATCGTATTTGCCGGCGTATAAGACGGTTTTGAGACCTTAAAACGTCCCCCGAAAATCGGGGGTCGTCTTATACGCCGGGTACATACAGAAGGATACGGTATACTGTATGTAGCTTTGGCTACATACAGTATGCCGCGCTGAACCTATCACGGCAGGCTTTGTATTAGTGAATACAAAGCCTGTATTGGTTAATACAAAGCCTGCCGTGATTGACTCAGTGGAAGACGAAGGACACAGCGGGGATCGTGGACAAGGTAAGAGACTGTAATCCTTAGTGTGGCTCGGGGTTACCGCTTATGGTACTGAAAATTAACCCCGAGCCACACTCGGGAATACAGCCATGTATGTTAGTGGGTGCATTTAAACATTATTTTGGGCTATACTCGTCTTATACGACGAGTACAGCCCAAAACCTATATTTTAACACAAAAAGTAGGGGGTCGTCTTATACGCCGAGTCGTCTTATACGCCGGCAAATACGGTACTCTTACAGTATGTTACTTGACCTTAAAGTAAACCTGTCGCAAAGATTGCCAGTTCAAACTGGGCACAAGCAGAGGTTACCTCTAGTGAAGACAAGATATCATAAACATCAATGAATACAGATATACAAGCAGCTGAAACGATGTGTAAATGTAAAATTCAAACTGTGCCCTACATCCCATGTATCCATAATTGTGATTGAGGTCGCCTTTCATATGGGAAAATTAAGAGGGATACTCTTGAGGGGGGCGGGGCCAGACAAAACTTCTGCATGAAAAGTCACAATTCATATTTATCTCTAGACCGCTTTAAAACTGGCTGAGTTTAAATGGAAGTCATGTTAACACTATACACTCTGTATGCAAGATATGTTCTATATACCGTGTTTCCCCGAAAATAAGACACTGTCTTATATTTTTTGGGGCTCAAAAAAACACACTAGGTCTTATTTTCAGGGTAGGTCTTATTTTTT